AGGGCGCTTGGCACGGCTGCCTCCGCTCCAGCCTCGTGCCACCGCGTCCGAGAGCCGCCCGTGCCTGCCCGCCTTGTGCCCAGCACGCCCGAGGCAGCCAGGGGCTGCTCACCCTGCACTTGGCCCAGCTGGGGGGGCTGTGCCCCATCCCAAACCGCCTCTGGTAACCGTTCCCTCTCGGGTCTGCGCCCCTGGCGCGGGTCAGGGCGGCTGCGGGGGCCTGAGGCTGCCCCGGGGGGTCTCTGAGGAGCGAGGCGGAGTGGGCAGGGGCGCGGGCAAGCAAGCGTGTGCTCGTGCTCCCCACGTGTGTGGGGTGAGGTGCATGCTTAGGCAGCGGGCCGTGCGTGACCGAGGCCGCAGGAGCGCTTCCCCCGCCGGCAGCTGCCAGTGCGGTTAGCTCCCTTCGGGTGCTGCAGAACGGGCGCGCTCTGGCCCTTCCCCTCTGCTCCCTCCCCAGCAGCAGGCAGGGGCAGATCGTTAGGAAACGAGTGGGGAGTGGATCGTGTGTAGTCCAAGGACTCCTGCACCGGAGTGTGTGTCTGGACAGCTGTGTTTAATCGCGCCGATGGTCCTCTTCTCCATCAGCATTTTATTCCTCTTTGGGCCTGTTCACTCTTCACACCTGCGGCATCTGCTGCCAACAGGCTCTAGGCAGCACTACCCGCAACAAGCTGTTTGTTTTAAATCTGCTGTCTGGTCAGCGGATGCGGTGCTGCCGGGACTGGTGCTGTGAAGGAGTAAAAAGCAGCTCTGCAGTTACCTCCTCCTTGCGCTTCCAGAGGTCGCTTCCCTTTGGCCACCCCTTAGAGATGAAGAGCCCCAGGCAGTTCAGCTGCTTCACAGCTCAGTGGTTGGTCTTGCTCTTCTTGTTGGAGGTTTACTTCCTCTTCTTCTGACACCTTTATGGAATCACAGAACAGTTGAGGTTGGCAGGCGCCTCTGGAGATCCTCCAGTTCAACCCCAGCTCATCTGAGCAGGTTGCTCAGTACCGTGTCCAGTCAAGTTTTGAATGTCTTGGAGATGGGTGGCTTTCTGGGAACCTGTTCCAGGCTCAAAGCTGGTGCTGCTTTACCCTCACAGTAAAAGGTTTTTCTTATCTCTGGAAGGCAGAGCAGGGAGTGTGTAGTTTTTTCTTAAGTGGGATTTCCAGTATTTTAGGTTTGTACTCATTGCCTCACTCTGTCACTGGGCATCGCTGAGTCTGGCTCGTCGTTTTTACAAATACCCAGTGGGGTGTCATATACGTAGATGAGATGCCCCGACCCCTTTTTTTTCCCTCCAGCTCCATCAGCCTCTTCTCCCATATCGTGTCCTCCAGTCCCGTAATCATCCCTGCGGCCCTGCCCTGGACCCCCCCCAGCACGGCCACGTTCTGTTCCGGGGAGCCCAGCGCCGGACACGGCGCTCCGGATGTGTCTCACCGGTGCTGAGTGGCAGCCGCCGGCTCGCGGCGCCCTCCCCGCGGCAGCCCGGGGTGCCGCTGCCTGCCTTTGCTGCGAGGCAGCAGCGCTGGCCGCCGCTCAGCTTCTCTTAGTCCCTGTCCTGCAAAGCCGCGTTCCGGCCGGTTGGCCCCAGCCTGTCCCGGCGCGCGGGATTATTCCTCCCGAGGCTCAGCACCTGGCCCTGGGGCTGTTTCTCCGGCCTGTTTGGGCCCTCCCGAACGGCAGCGCGGCCGCTGCTGCCCTCCTGTACCCTCCGCAGCCTCGCTGGGGGTGCGCTCGGTCCCGTCCAGGCCACTAATGAGGACACTAAACAGTGTTGGCCCCCGCACTGACTCCTGGGGTATGCGGCTTGTGACTCGGTCCAGCTGGACACGCAGCTCTCCGAGCCTGGCCGTTCAGCCCTCCTTACGTTTAATTTAAAGCCTTCTCCCGTTGGCTGGCGCATGGCCGTATGCCTGCTCGATCCGCGCCGGGCTGCCTGTCGTGCCTGGCACGCTGCTAAGCTGTCTGGGTATGTCAGCGCGGCTGTGCCAGGGCCGCGCGCCTCCCCGGGTGCCGCGGGCCCGCAGCAGCGGCAGGTGTGGGTTCGTCAGTGCCCCCCAACGGGGCTTCCTTCCAGGAGAGCCCTCTCCCTCCGCGGCACGGCGAGCGGGGGCTGCCGGCCGGGGCCGCGGAGCGCAGCGCCGGGACTCGCGCCCGGCCCCTCCCTTGCCCCTGTCCTCCGCCTGGACCGGCGTGTTGCTTCCGCCCCTCTGGCAGGCGCTGGGCGTGCTCTCGCAGGGTCACCTACCTCACACCCTCCGCTGCCCACACACACTCTTCCCAAGGTAGATGTTCTTTTCCCCGGTGGTCCTGACCTCTTATTGACAGCCAGCACTTTTCCCTCGGCAGTTCCCAGGTAAGGACGTGCTCCTTCCTTCCCAGGATCCTGCCCCGAATAACGGCCACATTTGATGTTCCCACAAACCCTGTCCTGGCTCCGGCACTCTACTCATTGCCAGCCTGTTTGGCTGAAGGAGTTTTCTGTGCTCTTGATCCTTTCGTAGCACGGGAAGGGCAAGCCCAGGGGGAGGCAGACCCCGGGGAGCTGGGCAGCGGGGGAAGGAGCAGGAAGCAGTGGAAGGAGGTGGCTCCGTACCAGCACGGCCAGAACCCTTTGACTCAGACCCGCCGCAGCCAGAGGACTGGGTTCCTTCTCCCCAGGCAGAGTTAGCAGCCTTCAGCCCTGGCCCGAGCAGCGCCTGGCTGCAAGCTGCCTGCTCTGGGGCACCGTGCAGTTTGTGTCTCCCATCCCTCTTGCTCAGCCGTGATGGTCACAAGCAGGTCCTGGACCCCACGTAGCACCCATATCAGGGTGTAGCCTTTCCACGGAGACCCCGGGTCATCCGTGCCAAGTTTTCCCACCCTATCCCTTCACGATGCCTCTCCGGCTGTGGGTGCAGGGCCAGGCTGGCGGCTCAAAGCCCAGCGGTGGGGCGCTTTTCCCCCCAGGCCCTGCCCCTGGCACCGTCTCGGAGCGGGCTGAGGTGCAGCTAGAGCTGCCGCTCTCCAGGCACAGAGCTGGTCGGCTCAGCCACGCTCCCCTGCGCAGCTCCAGCCCCTTAGCAGGATCTCCAAGCCCCAAGGAGAGCTCTTCTTGTGCTTCCTTCTTCCCAGGAGGGACAGGGGAAGAAGTGCCCGAGGAACAAAACGCACCGAGGGCTGGACTGCAGCCCGCGTCCTGTTACCGCCCTGCGATGCCTCGAGCCCTCCCTGTGCTGCCAGCGCTGCAGCGTGGGTCACGGTCACCCGTAGTCCTGCTCCGTGGGCACGGGCGGTGCCTCCAGGGCTGCTGGACCAGCGGAGCTGCCAGCCACCCCAAGCTGTGCCCCCCCAGTCCCTGGCACCCACCTGGAGGGAGCGCTGGTGGCGGCTGGGGTCTCCCGTTCTCGTCCCTGCGGATCCCTTCCTGCTCGGCTGCCCCAGTGCTGGTTGGCGATTCCCTCCGTGTTCCCAGCACAGTCTGGGGAGGGGGGGGGGTGTCTGCACAGCCCCCCGCCCCCCCCCCCCCCCCGGCGCGGGGGCTGGCGCTGCAGGGTGACAAGCCCCGGGGTGGGGGGGCCTTGAACTGGAAAAGCGTGCTTTTAGAAAAGCGCCTGCTGCCTCGTCCCCAGTCAGTGACTGGGACTGAGGGGGGGGCCCCTCCCTGCTCTGACCCGCATGGGTGCAGCTGGCTCGCGGTGGCCCAGGGCTCGTGGCCCTTTGGGGGGGGGTGTTTAGCTCCAGGGGGGTATTTGCTGTTCGGTGGCAGAGAGCTCTCCTGGCTCCACAGCCTGGCGTCCCGTTTGGCTTTCCCACTGGGGTCTCCGCTCCCCCGGGGCGCCCTGCGCCAGCTCCCCTGGGCCAAGGGAGGGGTGGTGCCGGTTCTGTTCGTCCCGGTGCCCTCGGTCCTCGGCAGACTGGGCTTCAAAGGGCGTGTTGGGGAAAAAACTGCTCTGGGCTCCGCGGGCTCCCGCAGCGCAGCGGGGAGGCTGCCGGCTGCCCCTCACCGACAGGCCCCCCCACCCTGTGCGAGGGGAGGGCGGCTGGGTCTCGCTCTTCAGCCCTCCCTGGGGGTCGGCGGCTGGGCTGCGAGGCGGGGGGAGCGCGGGCGGGCGCTGGGGGAGCCCTGAGCCCAGCCGTGCGCCCTGCCCGAGGCTGAGCTGGAGCGGGGCGAGCATCCCCTGCGCGAGGGCCGGCAGGGTGCCGAGCTGGGGCTTCTCTGCTCCCCCGGGGAGGGGTCCCCAGGCCTGGGTCCCCCCCCGCCGCCTCGGCCAGAGCTGCTCTGATGGTTTCTCCCCGTCCCCTTTCAGCTGCCCTACACGGAGCTGGAGAAGGTGAGTGGCATCGAGGAGGCCAAGCACTACCTGCGGCAGAAGCTGAGGGAGCTGCGCTTCTGAGGGACGGACACCCCGAGTCCCAGGAGCCCCGGGCGGGGAGGGGGCAGAGCGGGGTGGGCGCAGGCGGGTGCTGCCAGCCCCTTTCCCCTGGGGAGATTGGGGGGGGGGGGGGGGGGGGGGGGGGAAGGGGGGGGGAGATGGAGCCGCCCCCCCCATCCCAGGGGGGTGCAGGGCCGGGCTGTGGGCACCTGCTCCTTGATGTGGGGCTGGGGTAGTGTGAGATTATTTATTGCTGTTAGCGGGGGGGGGGGAAGGGGTGTGCCTTGACTGGTGCGTAGGGGAGTGTTTGGGTGCTTGGGGAGGGGGGGGAAGGTCCCTTGCTGCTCCCCCCCCCCCGCCCTGGCGCTGCCACCCCAGCCCTGTCTGTGAGAGTCACTGGGGGGGGCCTGGCCTGGCCCCCCAGCAGCACTGAGGGGGGGTCCCTGTGGCCCCAGCACCGCTGCTGGGAGGGAGGGCTGTGCCTGGCCCCCGTGTGCGGGGTCGCTGGGGGGGGGGGGGCAGGGAGGGGGGCTGCAGCAGACCCCGCACAGGGCAGGGAGCGGTTTGGGCAGGGCTGGCTGTTTGCACAGGGGGCTGCTCCCCAAGCCGGGAGGAGGGGGGTGCTCGGGAAGTGGGGGGTTAACTTTACAATAAAACTGGTGAAAAGTGTGCAAAGTCCGTTCTGTTTATTGGTACAAGGCAGCGGCCGGCCCCCAGCCCTCCCCCCCCGCCCCCCCCCCCCCCCGGGCCCAGCACAAGGCGACCCCCGCGCCCCCACACCAGGGTGCAGCCCCCTCTGCCCTGGGGGGGGACAGGCAGGGGCGGGGGGTCCCCCCCATCGGGGACAGGCAACTGCGGGCCCCCCCTCGGCAGGAGCTGCTGCCTGCATCCCTGCCCCTGCACAGCCGCGGTGCGGGTGGGGGGCACGGGGGTCGCCCACCCCTCAGCCTGCCCCGCTCGGTATAAAGCCATTTATTGCCATTTAAATTACTCTGTTAAATAAAACAGGGTGGGATTTCAGCAACACCTGATTGTCTGGCGGGAGCCCAGGGCTGGGCTGGGGCAGGGCCAGGACCTGCAGCTCTGCTGGGGGGCGGCCGGGGGCGGGGGGGGCTCTGCCCCATGGCGTGGTCACGATGTGCCCGGGGCGGGGGGCACCGAAGGCACGGCCCAGCCCTGCGCCCCACGGGAGGGCTGGGGGGGTCCCCGGCGGGGCCAGCGTCTCTTTGGCAGGTGCGTGTGTGTCCCCCCCCCACCCCGAAGGCACGGGGAGCGCGGGGGGTGCCCGTCCCCCGGCCGGGCAGGGCTGCGCAGCCGCGGCCCCCGGCCCCGCGGGCGGCTGGCTGGCTGGCGCGCGGTCACACCGGCATCGGCATCTCGTTGTACTCGTCCACACCTTCCCGCTCGTCCAAGATGGGCTCGGCCTCGTCTGCGTCCAGCTGCGGGGGGACGGTGGCTCAGCAGGGAGGGAGGGGGCGCCCCTCCGTGCCCCTCCACCCGCGTGGGTCCAGCCGTCGCGGCCCCGGGGGCGAGGGGGGCAGCCGGCCACGGGACGCGGAGCAGGTACTTACACACTTCATCTCCCGGTCGGTGAAGATGCGGCTGAGCAGGCACATGCGGAGTGGCACCGTGAGGATGAGGATGAAGGGGAAGGCCAGGGAGGCCACGGTGGACATGACGGCCCAGAGCACGGCCAGGCACGCCAGCTGCAGCCCGGTGAAGAGGTGCATGCGCAGCGTGCGGACCTGCGCGGGGACGGGCGTCAGGGCCGGACCCCCGCGTCCCACCCGGGCACAGCCAGGCCCCGCCCCGGGACACGGCCCCCCCCAGGGTCTGTGCCCCGCCCCAACCCCCCCGCCCCAGCCCCCTAAACGAGGCTGTGCCACAGCCCGGCCCGCAGACACCCCGGCGCCCCCAACCCGCGGGTGCCCCGAGCCCAAAGGTGCCCCAGGCTGGCTGCTGCCCTAGATGAGGGTCCCACATCCCCCCCCCCCCCCGACCTTTTTGACATAGGTGACGTCGGGGTGGTGCTTGGGGGGCATCAGCAGCAGCTGCAGGCGCTCGTAGAACTGGATGCCGTTGAGGGAGGTGACGCCCATGTAGAGGAAGATCCCGAAGAGCACGGCCAGCGGGATCTGGCGCAGCAGGTCCCCGATGACGATGGACAGGCCTGGGCCAGAGCGGGGTCAGCCGTGGTGCCGGGTTTGGGGGCTCCTGGAGTCCCCGCTGGGGCCAGGGCTCACAACAGCCCCCCCCCCAGCCCCACTCCCTTGCCCAGTCACCCCCCTGCGCCGTGTGGGACAGGACAGCCACAGCAGTTGGGCCAGGGCTCAGGGCACCCCAGCTCCTGTGGATCCAGCCCATGTGGCTCCCCGCACCGCCGCAGCTCCCCACGGCTGCCTGGACCCCCCCCCCCCGGCCACGCAGGATGGAACAGGGCTGGCGGGGGACCCACCGTGGGCAGGGCTGGACCTACCGACGAGCACGGCCACCAGCAGCCCGGTGACCCGCTGCTCCTTCACCTCCTGGATCTTGGGCTTGTCCCCGGGCGCCACGGCCTTGCTCATGACGGTGAGGGCGTTGGCGTGGGTGACGGAGCGCACCGTGGCCGCGGCGAGCCACGGCAGCCCGAAGAGAGCGAAGAAGCCGCCCATGGCCACGATGAGCAGGAGGTCAAGGTGGAACCCAGAGCCCTTCTGCAGCATCCGCTCCTTCTTGCTGATGATCAGCCTGGGCACAAGGGCAGACGGTCGGCATGGCTTGACAGGGCTTGGCACGGCACGGCAAAGCTTGGCACAGCTCGGCATGGCACAATTCAGCGTGGCACAGCTCAGCGTGGCGTAGCACAGCCCGGCACTGCACAGCTTGGCACAGCTCAGCATGACATGGCACAGCTCGGCACGGCACAGCTCAGCATTGCATGGCACGGGACAGCACAGCTTGACACGGCACGGCACAGCTTGGCGCGGCTCGGCACGGCACGGCACACCCTGCCCCACTCGTGCCCCGCGCTGCCCCCAGCCCTGCCCCGCTGCGCTCACGTGGTGATCTGCGTCTCCATGAAGATGAGGATGAAGACGAGGACGGCGGGGAGGCCGCTGGCCACCATCATCCAGACGGGGAAGTCGCTCTTGTCGCCCAGTGGGTTGATCACCCAGCCCCGCTTGTCTGGGGCCGTCACCGAGAACCCGCTGGGCACGCTCAGCTTCTGCGGGGAGGGGGCGAGACACGCTGGCGTGGGGGGCACCGGCTCTGCCCCCCGGCACGCAGCTCCCCGAGCGAGGGGTGCCGCGGGGCGTGGGGAGAGCCGCGGAGGCACCAGCACCCACCGCAGCCGGACTCAGAGGGCTCCCGGCACGGTGGGGAGAGGAAAAGTGGGATGCCGGGAGCCGGGGGCAGCTGAGCGCCGCGGCGGGGACGGGTGGTGCCGCACACGCCGGGACGGCAGCAGACGAGCAGGACGGGGGCCCCCCACGAGGGTGGGGGGCAGAGGGGGATCCTGCCCGGGGGAGGGTGAGTGGGCGCTGACCTGCGTGTAGGTGTCCTGGATGCTGTAGTCCACCAGCACCATCACCAGGATGGCGATGGGCACCCCGAAGTCCCCGATGAGCCGCCGGATCTGGGGGAAGAGCAGCGTCAGCCCGGCCCCGGCCCCACCGCCCGGCCCCCCCCCCCGCCCCGGCTCAGCCCTGCCCCCAAAGCTGGGCTCACCCCAGGGCCCCACGCAGCGCCCACGCCGCCGTCCCGCCAGCCCCACGCACCCGTCCAGGGAAGAACCGGCTGTTCTTGAACTTGCGCAGGAAGAAGGCGATGAAGAAGGTGCCGGCCATGAGCACCAGCGAGAGCAGCGCCGTGTTGGGCTGCCCCGTCACCTTGGCTGCGGCGCGGCCGGCCGTGCCGTTGGCCGGGGCCGCGCTGCCGTTCCTCCACGCCGCCGCCTCCGCGCCCGTGCCGTTCGCCCGCAGGCAGCCGTGCAGGGGATGCTCCTGGAAGATCTGCGGCAGCGCGAGGCTCAGGCCGGTCCTGCCCGCCCCCGCCCCGCGGACGCCCCGGCCCCGCCGGCTCACCTTGGCCAGCTTGGAGAAGGTCTCGTAGATGAAGATGAGGGAGATGAGGAAGGCGAAGATCTCCTGGGTGAAGCGGGAGACAAAGCGCACCAGGAAGCTGCCCTCGAAAGCCACCATGACCAGCACGATGAGGATGAGCCAGAAGCCGATCCAGACGCGCCCCACCAGGTACTCCAGCTCATTGGACGTGCAGAACTGCCAGTGCCAGGGAGACGGACGGACGGATGGACAGAGAGATGGGCAGGTGTCAGCAGGAGGGATGGGCCCCGGCAGGAGCAGTGGGGCTGGGGGGGGGCTGCCTGCCCCACACGGGAACGTTCCCCGGCCCCTGCCCGTGCACTCACCGTGAAGAAAGCCTCCTCGAAGACGAGCAGCGGCCCCGAGAAGCCGATGACGAGCAGGGGCTGGGCGCCCAGCAGGCAGAAGAGCACGCCCTGCAGCGACGTGGAGATGATCAGCTCGGACACCCCGATCAGGTCCTGCGTCTTCTCCCCTGCGGGCAGGACAGGCTCAGGCACACCCGGCGGGACGGGGCCCCCCGTCCCCAGCGCCACGGCCCCCCGCGCCGTGCCGGCCCCCCCGCACTCACCCAGCAGCCCTCCGAAGGTGATGGCCGGCGACAACGCGGCGAAGTAGATGAAGATGACGGCTGCAATGCACTGGGGGTTCAGCGCATCCCTGAAGTCGCTCAGGTACTTGGGGTACCGCCGCCGCACGTCCCGGATCAGCCCCCCGAAGGGCCGGCCCGTGCGCCGCAGGGGATCATCCTCCTCCTCCTCGCCCTCGCCCTCCACCACCTTCAGCTTTAGCAGCGCTGCGCCCCCCGGACAGACGGCCAGTGAGACCCCGCCAGCCGGGTGCCCCCACCCAGACCCTGCCCCGATCCCGCCCCGCCGGCACCTTTCTCCTCGGGGGACTTGGGCTCCAGCAGCAGCCTTCGCTCCTGCTCCTCCCTCTTCTTCAGCATCTCGCGCTGGAAGTGGGCGACGCTGCGCAGCAGCTCCTCGCCCTGCACCTCGGAGGGCGGCAGCACCACGCTGCAGTCCAGGAACTCGTTGATGGCGTTGAGGAGGTCGTGGCGGTCGTCGGCCAGGTACGCGGCCTCGTGGAATTGCTGGCGGGGCGACGGGGGGGGTCAGAGCACCCGTCCGGGGGTCCCGCGGCGCCCCGAGCCCGGCCCCGGCAGGGACGCGGCGCCCACCTTGTCGGACATGAGGGTGGAGATGGAGCGCCCGATCTCGTGGTAGTCCATGTGGGTGCTGCTGGGCCCCAGCAGCACGAAGAGGAACCGCACGGGGACGGGCACCTCCAGCACCGAGTCCAGCTCCACAGCCTCCTGCAGCCGCACGAAGGCCATGGTGGGCTGGTCCAGGAACTCCACGCAGCCTGGGGGGGCACGGGGGGGGTCACTGCGGGAGCCTGGCATGCTGTCCCCACGCCCCCCCCCCCCCCCCCCGCCGCCCCTCCGTACCCACAAGCACCACCGTGGCCTCGGCGTTGTCCGGGATCTTCTCCAGCAGCTTCAGCTCATGCTTGGACTTGGAGCGGGTGATGCCGGCCGGGGGCGTGGGGGTGAGGACCTCCCTCTGCGGGGACAGAGCGCACGGCAGGGCTGGGGTCAGGGCCCCTCCCGAGGATGAGGAGCGGCGGCAGGCCGGGAGGAAGGCACGGGCAGAGGGCCGGGGTCGGCGCGGCGCAGCCACGGGAGCCGGGCTCACCTCCCGCTCCACATCGACCCGCGTGTCGTGCTCCACGGCGTGGCCGGCGATGAGGGGCTCGGTGACGGCCGGCTCGCTGCCCTCGGCCACGTGGTTGGTGCTGTGGTGGTGCACGAGCAGCGAGCCCAGGCTGCCGGCCGAGATGTTCCGCGGGAAGGAGAAGTCCTTCTCGTCGCTCGGGTGGCTGCGGAACCAAGCCAGGGCTGCCGGCGGTGGCCGAGGGGAGAGCGGCCGGCACGCCGCGCGCCGGCGGCCCCGGGGACAGCGCTGTCCCCACGGCCGTGGGTCGCAGAGCCTGGCGGAGGCGGGGGGCTGCGGGTCGCTGCCCCCCACGCTCACCTGTGCTTGAGCAGCAGCGCCCGCAGCACGTTGGCGCGGTCCTCGGCACGGATCTGGTCGGTGATGACCATCTGCTCCACCACCTGGTGAGCCACCCCCGGCAGCGTCTTCTGGTCCAGGTCGAGGAGCACGGCCCCTGGGCGAGGGACGGGGGGTGCTGAGGCGAGCAGGACTGGGGACCCCCCGCCGGCCCGGACCCCGTGGAGCCAGCACGGCCTCCCTACCGTGGGACAGGGTCTTGCGCAGCTCCAGGAGGCTGCGGAAGGAGAGGGAGGCCACGTGCGGCTTGCCCCAGCGGTCCGTCTCCTCCTCCACGTCCTCCTCAAACTTGATCCAGCGCGCCGTCTCCTTCCACTGCAGCTCCTGGTTCTTGTCCACCACCAGCTCGTTCAGCTCCACGAACACCTGACCGCAAACGGCCGGGTCAGCTCCGGCACTGCCGGGCCCCCCCCACGGGACGCCAGGCAGGCAGCCCCCCTCCACACCGCCCACCCAGCCGCTCGCCCAGTCCTGCGCCGCGCCCCGGCTCCTCCGCCGCGCCGGGACCCCCAGCCCTGCCCACACCCCCCCCTCTAGCACCGGGACCCCCCCTCACCTCGTGGGGCTGCCGGTCCTGCTTGCGGTGCCGCGTGCTCTGCTCCTTGTGGTCCTTGCTGATGTGGACCACCTGCGCCTTGGCAATCTTCCGGACGAGGTGCCGGCGCACCCCCGGCACGTCCTCGAAGCGGTGACCTGCCAGAGACCGGGGGGACAGCGATCGCGGCGGGCGGGCGACCCGCAGAGCTTGCAGCCCTGAGCCCCGCCCTGGGGGGGCCACTAAACCCCAGTATGGGGGGCCGGGGAGCCATGGGCTAGCTGGGGCCAGGCAAGGACCATCCCATCCCCGGGGGCTGAGCGCGCAGCACGGTGACACTCGGTGTAGCGGGGGGGGACAGGGTCTGCGCTGGCGAGGGACGCGGCACCGGAGGGGGACGCCCGGTCGCTGCTTCGGTGCCAGCGGTGACGAGCAGGAGCCGAGGTGGCTCCTCATGGTGGGGTCACCCGAGCCCCCCGTGCCAAGGGCTGCACCGGCCCGTTGGCACAGGGGCTCTGCCGCAGGCAGCCCTCCCCGGGGAGCCCGGAGGCAGAAGCGTCACCCGTTGCCCTGGGAGTCCCCGAGCTCCAGATCTCCAGGGGCTGGCGAGCACCCAGGGGAGGCACCGCCGGCTCCAGCCACCCCGAGCACCGGCTCCTGGCCGTGCTCCCCCGGCACCCCGGGAAGGGGTCCCCGGGGGCCACCCCCAGTGCCTGGAGCGGGGCCAGACCCTGCGCCCAGCCCGGCTCTGCTGCGGCCACGGGGTGACCCAGCACTGCCAGTCCCGCCGGCACGGCCCCGCTCCCGCTGTGCCAACGGCCGCTGCCGGCGCGGCCCCCGGGGTGCAGGGTGCCCCCCACTCACTCTTCATGTAATCCAGGTCGGCCGAGGCCAGCGTCTGGGCCTCCGACTCGTCCGTCGGCATCTTCTGGTACCGGTCCTGCTCGGCGCCCGTCATGCTGCCGATCCGCCGCCGCTCGTGCAGGTTGTAGCTGCGGTGCCCCGGCTGCGACTTGGGAACGGGGCGCCCGGGGGACCCGGCCACGGCGGCGGCCGCTCCCTCCACCGAACCTCCCTCCTCCATCTCGGGGCTGCAAGGCAGGCGCCCGCCTCAGCGCTGAGCCCCCGCTCCGCCCCATAGCACTGCCGGGGGGGCCGCCCGCCCGCCCCCTCGAGAGCCCCAGCCCCATCCAAGCCCCAGCGCTGCCCGGCCCCCGCTCACCTGCCTGCCCGGGGGTCCCCGGGGGACGTGGAGCCCCGGGGCTCCGGGGGGGATCCGGGCAGCGCCGCGGGGGCCACCGGCTCCTCTGCCCGGCGGTCGGTCACCTCGTCCTCCTGCAGGAAGAACTGAGAGGGGGCACGGGGGGAATCGGCTGCTGCGGAGCCGCGTCCCCCGGCCACAGGCATCACCGGCTCCTCTCCAGCCCCGGCGCCCCAGCCGTGCCCAGCCGCCCGCCCCACGAGCCCCCAGAGCCAGGGGTGGGGGGCCCAGCGCCGGCCCCCGCGCCCAGCCCAGCCCTCACCTGCACTGCCTCGGGCGGGCTGGGCTGCAGGCCCTCCTCCGCCGACCGCTCCGTCTCCGTGTCGCACGCCTCGTCCTCATCCTCTTCGGCCTCCTCGATGGTGGGGGTCTCGCCCGGGACGGAGGCGCGGCGGTGCTTCTTCTTGCCCTTTTTCGGCACCCCTTTCTTGCGGCGGGTGTCGGGGGGCAGGTGGGTGGAGAGCGGGTGGTGGATGTGGTGGGACGACTGGCGGTGGTCTGCGGGGGACAGGGTGGGGTTGGTGCCCTGCCCGCCGCCCCCCGCCCGCCCGCCGCCCCCCCGGGCCCCACTCACACTCGAAGTCCTCCTCGCCGTAGCTGCGCCCGGCCTCCTCCGCGTTGCGGGGGTGCGCGTCGCACAGGATCTCCTCGAAGCGCTCCACGCCCAGCGCCTTGTTCAGGTCCTTCTCCTCCTCCTCCTCCTCGCCGAACACGGGCGAGCCGGCGCCCAGCGCCTCTTGCTCGGGCTGCGGGCCGGCAACGGTGCTGAGCGGGCCCCCAGCACCGCCGGCCCCCGGCACACCCCGGTCACGCGGGCCCCCCGCGACGAACACCCCGGCCGGTGGCTCGGCGGGGTCCCCAAAGGCCCGGCACCCAAGGGACGTGCACCCCACTGCACCCCTGGGCTGGGCGCCCACCGTGCCATTCGCACCCCGCGCCCCCCAGCCTCAGCACCGCGCTCCCCCCCGCACGCACCCCCACTATCACCAGTGCCCCGCTCCCCGGTGCTGCCCCGACCCGGCATCCCCAGCGCCGTGCCCGGGTGCCGCGCTCTCCCTGTGCACCCCCGCCATCCCCAGTGCCCCCCTGCGCACCCCCATTCCCGTGTCCAGGTGCTGTGCCCCCCCCCCCGTGCACCCCCATTCCCACGCCCTGGTGCCGCGCCCCCGCACCCAGAGTGCCCCCGATGCTGTGCCCCCCTCCCAGCGCTGCTGGGTGCTGCTGGTGCACCCCAGCTGTGGGGGCTGGGGTGCAAGGGGGGGCTGCTGGGGGGGGGAAGTGGGGCTGCAAGCGCAGGGGGTGTGGGGCTGTGAAGGGTGCAGGGGGGGTACAGGGGCGCAGGGCTGGGGGGCCCGGGGGAGGTAGGGGGTGCAGGGGAGGGGGGGGTGCAGGGGAGGGGGGGTGAGGGGGGCGGGGGGGGGGCGCGTCCCCGCCCGGCCGGTCCTACCTGAGTCATGGCAGAGCCGCGCTCCCGCCGCAGCTCCCGCAGCGCTTTATCGGGGCGGCGCGGCCCGGCCGGGGATGGGGGCGGCGGGGGCGGGGGGGGGGGGACGAGGAGGAGGGGGGGGGGGCGGCGGCTCCTTCCCCGGCCTCGCCAAATATTGACGGAGCCGCCCCGCGCCCGCCTCAAGGTGACAGCGGCCCGCAGAGGGCACCGGCTGCGCCCGCAGCACCGGGCTGCCGGCCCCCCCCCCCGCCCAGCTCCGGCCCCCCCGGAATGCACCGACCCGCCGGTGATGCACCGACCCCCCCGGCAACACACTGATCTCCTCCGGTAACGCACGGCGCCCCCCCCCCCCCCGTGCCCCTCCCCCGTAAATGCACGAGCCACCGGGAGAGCCCCGGCTCTGCTCGCAGCCGCACGGTGACACCCCCCCCCCGGTGCACAGTGACCCCCCCTTGCTGCACAGGTCGGGCCGGGTCGGGCTGCCACCCCCCCCGGTAACACATGGCTTCCCCCCAGTAACGCGCCCCCCCCGCCCCTGCCGGGGCTGTGCTGCCGACACCCCCCCCCCCAGCCCCCCAGTCCCTGCCCTGCACTGGCCACCCCCGAGGACCCCCCCGGGACCAGGCAGGTCCCCGGCCCCCGGGGAGGGGGGGGACACCGGGAGGGGGAGGGGACCGGGGAGGGACAGGGTGGATGGTGACACACAGGTGGGGGGGGGGGGGGGGGCGGGGGGGTGGACAGGAGCACCCCGGGCAGCGGCAGTGGGGGCTGCCACCCTCTTTGGGGACAGCCCGGCACCCCCCGGCGTGTGCCACCCCCCCGCCGTGTCCTCGGGCACAGCCGTGGCCCCCCTCCCCCCCCGCAGGGTGACCCCAACACCCCAGGGACGGGGAACAAACCCATGTCCCCCATCACAGCTGCAGGCGCCCCGGCAAGGCAGCCCCCCCCCCCCCTCAGCCCCCCCAAACCTCGACCCCAGCCCCAAAACGACCCTGGGCTCCCCATCCGCCGCCCACCCAGTGACCGCGGCACGTCCCTGCCCGCGGTGATGCCCGGGACCCCCCTCGCCAAACCCGCCGAGCACCCGGGGGTCCCTGCCAGGGGTCAGTGGGGCTGAGCTGCTCCTGACCCCGCTCCCCGTCCCAGGGGACAGATGGTGACGGGCGTCCCCGGCCGGGGGCCGGTGGGACGAGGCACCTGCCGGCCCGGGCAAGGCCGCGGCTTACCCGGTAGCCCAGGAGGAAATCCATGGGTGGCAGAGCCGCGGGGAAGGGGCCGCGGGTCCCATCCCCGGTCACGTGCGCGGTGACGGGGACTCGCCCAATGGCACCGGGCAGCGCGACACAAAGGGTTAATGATTAACTCCGCTCCCCGGCAGCCCCACGGCCAGGGCAGCGCTGGCACCGCTGGCACCGCGCGGCCGGGGTGGGCGAGTGGCACCGGCAGAGCCGCCGGCCCCGGCACAACGCGCCCTGGCAGCACCCGCCTCAAGGGCACCCGGCGCCCCGGCACAGCCTGCCCCGGGCTGGCTGCTGTGGGGCACGGCCCTGCCCCACGGCGGGTGCCACGCCGCGCTGCCGGCACCCCACAGCCCTGCCCCACGGTTGGGTGATGTGCTGCGGCGTGGAGGGACAGCCGTGCCGTGCCACGGCACCCCTCGCCCAGCTGGGCAGTGGCAACGGCTGCAGCCCCGCCGTGGGGCTGTGCCCCTCTGTGGGGTCGTGCCCCCCGTGGGGCTGTGCCCACCCACTGTGAGGCCATGCCGGCCGCGGGGCTGTGCCCACCACGGGGTCCTGCCCGCTGTGGAGCGATGCCCACCATGGGGCCATGCCCACTGTGGGTTCGTGCCCCCCCGTGGGTTCGTGCCCCCCCGCGGGTTCGTGCCCGCCGCCGCGGCACTTACGCTCTGGAAGGCGGAGGAGACGATGTGGTGGATCTCGGAGGACACCTGGGAGTGGGTCATGGCGCAGGCGCGACGCCCGGGGCCGGCCGGCTTAGCCCTTCTCCTTCTCGCGGGGGCTCAGGGGACGCTGTCGGGGCAGCATAACCTGGGGGTGCAGAGGGGTGCTCAGGACCGGGGCGGAGGGTGCCCCCGGGGCAGAGCCGCGGGCGGGGGGTGGGGGGCTGCCCCTCCTCGGCCGCCCCGGGGGGAGACGCGGGCAGGGCTGGCCCCCGGGCCGGTTTGTCTTGGCGGCAGGTGGGAGCGGGGGAGCCGGGGCCAAGACAAACGCCGGGAGGGGAGCGGAGCTGGGGCAGCGGGACGGGACCCCGGGCACAGGCCCAGCCCCGCGGGGCGCAGGCAGGGAGCCAGACCCCGGGGCGGGGGCGGGGGGAGCGGCGGTGAGTACCCCCCCAGACAGACTGCCCGAGCCCCCCCAGCAATCCCAGCCCGGCGTGCACCCCCATCGCGGCCCCCCCCCGCACCGGCCATCTTCGCCCCACACTTGCCCCTCGGCAGGTCCCCGGGCACCAGGCTGACCCCTCCAGCACCGGCGTGCCGGGTTTATTGCCACGGGAGGTGGCCCCACGTGACGGCGGGGACCGAGGAGGGTGGTGACGGGTGACTGCGTCTCACATGGGTGGCTCACCATCACCGTCCTCGTCACCGGCACCGGCACCCCTCCCGCCACGCCGGCCCCCCGTGGGGTGCAGGCACGGTAGCCCCGGCACCACCGAGGCCGCGGCACCAGAGCGAACCTCCCGCGCAGCGCGGCGCTGCCCGGCCCCGGCTGCTCCCCTAATCCCCGCTCCCCATCTGGGGCCGGAGCCAGCACAGCCACATTCCAGCCGAGCGAGCGCAGATTAGCCGGCCTGCCACGCCGCTCTCCCGGGGCGCCCGCCAAGCCGCAGCCGAAACTCCCCCCCCTACCCTGGATGGGGACCCCGGCGTGCCCGAGGGGGGCTGGCGGCAGCCCCCCCCCACCCATGGTGCGGGCGGTGGGGAGCCAGTCGATGCGGTGCAGCTCCAGTCCCACCAGTGCACCTGCCCGACCCACCAGGGTGGGAACTGGGGGGAAGAACAAGCCGGTGTCTCCGCTCCACCTCCCCAGATGGAGCCGGGGCCCCCAAACTTCCCTTGCTGGGTGACTCGAGGCGGGCTCCCTGCATAGCCCGTGTGGCTGCGTCTCCCCCCCACACCCCCCCCCCAACCCCGAGGACTGGGACCGGCAAGCGGGGTGCAGGGCGACCCCAATGCTGCTGAGAGCCGCTGCCGGGAGCGGGGGGTCAGAGCCCACCGGGACGGTCGATGGCGTGGAGCGGCCAGGCGGGCACAGCCAGCACCTCCAGCCCGTCCCGGCGTTGTGCCCAGGCCAAGCTCCCCGCAGGACGGGGTCCCCGGCACCCCACCACGGCCGGCAGGTACCGGGGCTCCGGCGCGGGAAGGCACTTTGCCGCTCCCGGCCCTAAGCAGCTTTTTGGGCTTAATCCCGTTGGCAGCTCGCGGGGATTAGAGCCCCGGGAACACACTTGGGATTGTTCTCGGGGAACGCCGAGCTGGGAAGCTGCCCCGAGCCGCGCTCTCACCAGCCCTCGGCGCGGGGGAGCTGGGTGCCGGCCCATCACCCAAAAAGGGGGGGGCTCCCAGCCGCCCCACGACCCCTCACCCCCAGGCTCTCGTGGTGCCGCTGCGGGCACCCGGCAGGACGGTGCCAGGGCGGGCGAGCTGGGGCCACGCGGTGCCCGGGAGCCTGTGGCCTGACGCTGCTGGAAAGGGTGACGGGCACCCGGGGGGGGGAACTTCTGCTTTCCGTGGTGGCCGCTGAGTCACCGCGCAGGCACGGCCGGGCAGCCGGCCGGGAAGGGCTCAGGCTGGCCCCGCAGAGTGGAGCCCGGCGCCAGCCTGTGCCGGGAGCTCCCGCGGCCACCCCGGGCACCGTGCCGGGCCGGTGCCTGCCCCGGGGGACGGCGGGGGACGGGTCTGCCGAGCGGCCGTGGGGCTGCCCCGCTGCAGCTCTGCTGGTGTCGGCGCTCAGCACCGTGCCGCCGCCGCCACGTGGCTCCAGGCACCGGCACGGCCGCGGTGCCACCACCTCGCCCTGCTCCGGGCCCGGCCGCGCAGCACAATGGCCCCTTGTGCGAGGGAACAGGCCGCCCCGATAAGCGGGGCAGGCCCGCAGATACGGCCACCGGCTGCCAACGCCGCGCCAATAATTACCGGCTGGCTCCGATCAGCGCCTGGGCGCGAGCCGGCTCGGCGGCTCCCGCCGGTGCCGCAGTCGCATTCCTGGGACCGGCCCCGGCCTGCCCGCCTGATCCGCTGAGGCGATTAGAGGGCCCGGCCCCACGCCGTGGGGGGCTGCCCCACGGGGCCCTCTCACCCCCAGCCCCGGCACCGGCACCCACCAGCACCACACAGGCCAGGAAGGTGGGAAGTGAGGCAGCGCCGTCGCCAGCCCTTCCACGGCCGGGGTGTCCTGCTCCACAGCACGGACCCAAAACCCTCAACGGGGACCCCCAGGTGGGAGCGGGGACCCCCAGGGCAACGGGGGCCAGCCAGAGCCCAGCAGCCAGTGCCGGCGGCAGCTCCGTGCCCGCTCACACCACGTCGCCCGAGCTGGGATCGGCACACACACACAACACACGTGCCGCGCACGTTTGTGCCCGCAGCCAGAGGCGAGGCCGACCGGGACCACCGCGCCGTGTCCGCTCAGGAGCCGGAGCCGCATCCCCGGCCCCGGCGCACCGGCCGGCTGGCACCGCAGTGACGGGGGAGGCACCGTGTCCCTCGCCGTCCCTGGGAACTGTCTGTGCCCGATTTCCAGGCGAAATCGCAGCCGGGGCGAGGCCGGTGCGGGTCAGGCTGTGCCCATCGCCCCGCGCTCCCCAGCCTGCCTGGCACGGTGAGGCTGTGCCCCGATGCCGTGGAAGGGGGGAGCGAGGGGCCCCGGTGATGCCCTGTGCCCCCCAGGCCTGTCCCCCCCCCCCCCCATCCCCATCTCTACCCGCGGTGATGCTGCAGCGGCTCCCGGCCCTCCGGCACGCACGGCACCATCCCTCGGCTCCTCGACCGGGGCTGGGGACGCCGGCACGGGCCACCCTGCCCTGCCATGGGTGCTCACCGCAGCCGCGCTCACCCCGCTGCTCCCCACATCCCCGGTGCGGGAGCCACGAGCCGGCCCTGGCGCTGCGCTGGCACCCGCTCCCCCACGGGCAGCCCCCCGAGGCAGAGCTGCATCCGCACCCCGATGGTGCCCGGGCTCTGCCCCCCACCCGCACGGCACCCCAGCCCCAGCTCCCTGAAATCGAGAGCAGTGCCAAGGGGGACCCCAGCAGTGAGCTCCAGCTCCCCTGCCCACCCCCGAGGGCAGAAGACCACCCAGAGCCCCCGGCAGCCCTTCACCCAAGGGCTGGAGGCTGCTGAATTTGGGGGGGGGGGGGGGGCATGTGGGTCTCCGGGCAGGCAGTGCAGCCACCCCTGCAGAGTGGGGAGCCCAGTGCCAGCCCCCCGACCCAGCTCCCGCTCCCTCCTGCCCGGCTCACCTGGCTGCTCGGGGAGACCCCCGGGAGATCCCGTCACCCCCAGCCCCTCCCGGATGCCCACCCAGGAGAGGGGGCGGGGGTCCCGCTCCCCCCCCATCACCGCAGTGGGCGCCGCAGGACGGAGCTGAGCCGGGACAACGCCGCCCCGGCAGAGGTTTTCTAGACACTGCAAGTTCAGAAGCCGCCACCAAAAATATCCTCCCACCCCCTCCACCCCGGCCCCCCCCCGCACGCCCCCCCCACCCCGCGACCTCAAAACCGCCGGATCCAGGAGATGAATCACGGCGCTGCGCGGCTCCGCGCCCACGCCCACGCCGGGGCCACCGCTGCCACGGGGACCGCCGGGGGCTGGCGGGGAGGGCAGGCACAGCCCCCCCCCGGGGCCAGGGGCTGCCCCAGGGACCCCGCAGGATGCGGCCCGGCGGTGCGCTCCCTCCCACCGCGGCTGCCAGCCCCCCACCACGGCCAAGCCCTGGAGAGGACGGGACCCCCCCCCGTCAGCTGCTCCTGCCACCCCGGCCGGTGGTCCCCGCTGCTGTCCCCATCCCAGCCCCGGGAGGGGGCAGGCACAGCTGCCTCCCCCCACGGACCCGCTGCTGCGGCGCCGGGCTCCGTGTGCCGCCCCGGGGACACGCACCGGCACTGACCCCTTGGTCCTTGGCGGCTGCCACGGGGGGGGCCTGGCCGGGTGCAGCCCCCTAACCGTCACCCACAGCAGGGCTGGGGGCCGTACACCCACCCCCCCACCCTTGGGGAGGTGTGAGCCCGGTTGTGCCGCTCCCCGGCAGCTCTGCCCCACTCACCCCATCGCCCGCCGACCCGGCAAGGCTGCGGCTCCGGCTGCGCTCCCGCTGCTGCCGCCGGCTTCCCACGGGCACCCGGCCGGTCCGTGCCCCCCCGGGACGGGGACCTGCCCCAGCGGGACACGACGCGGGGCCCTCGGCCAGCGCGGCCCCTCTGCCTCCGCCACGGGGCCGGGGGCAGCCACGCTCGGCCCCACCGTGCCGTGAGCTGCCCAGTGCCGGCCACCGGCCGGAGCTTTTATACCGGAGCGGAATTAAAAAAAAAAAAAAAAAAATATCAGCGGCGGCGGCGGCAGCAGCGAGAGTCTTTGTTTCGGCAAGCCTGCACCAGGCCACTTTATCCAAACAGAGTGGCGGTGCCAAGTCCCGGAACGGCTCCTCGGGCAGCCCCACCTCTGCGCCGCGGCTCCCGCTGGGCACGGGGGCAGCCAGCGGCGAGCGCCGGCAGCCGGGGACGGGCAAGCGACAGCGGAGGGGCCGCGCTCCAGCCCCACAGAGCAGCCGGCACAGGGGGGACGTGGGGTGGGGTGGGGGGACACACGCAGCCCCCCAGCCCCACGAGCGCTGGGGGCTTCGCCTGCGCAGACGTGGGCGCGCAGGGTCACGCAAGGGGACAGGCGGTGCGGTACGGGGGGTGAGGGATGTGGGGCAGGCGGCCGTGGGGCAGAGAGCGGGGAGGAGCTGGGGGGGCAGCCCATTCCCCCCACCCCCCCCGCCAGCCTCGGCGCCCCTGGCAAGCCCCAGCGCGGCGTCCTCAGGCAGCCAGCCCGGTCCCTGCGGCCACCCTGTCCCCTCTAATGACAGGGCTGCGCTGGCAGGGGCCGCAATGGGGACAGCAGCCAGACCCCCCCCTCCCCGCAGCTCGGCACGGGGGCCCGGCCAGGCGACGGCTCCCACGGCCCCCTCCCTTCCGCCGGCCGGGATGGCATCCCAGCCTGAGCCACCCCCACCCCGGACACTGCAGGGGACGGGGGCGGCACGGGGGGTCCCCCCTCCCGTCCATAGGACGGGTGTGATCCTACAGACGGGATGAGGGACCCCCCCCCCCGCCGCCCCCATCCCCTGCAACATCTCTGCCCGCCCCGGGGAGCCCCGAGCAGCGGCGCGGAGCAGAGCAGGGCAGGGAGAGGCTGCGCAGCCATGGGGTGCCCCTCACCGGTGCAGGGACCCCCCCAGAGCCGTCCCCGCCGTACGCCTTCCCCCACAGTCACCGAGAGCAGCGTCCCTTGGGGGGGCAGGACCCGGCTGGGGCAGGGTGGCAGCGAGGGAGGGGGCCGCCAAGGGGGCTCGGGGCAGAGCCCACCCGGCAAAGCCCCCGCCGGGGCTCAGGGCCAGCCCTTCTCCCGGCCCCCAGTCCCCGAGGAGGCCGGTGGCCGCGGGGGCCGGGGTGGGAGGGCTGCCCGCGGGGAGGGACAGGCGCCGGTGCCAGCAGCGTTGTCGGGGCCATCAAATCCCGCGCTCCTGGCAGCCGCTTGAAGCGGTGCAGTGACCCCGAAGCGGGGCCGAGCCCCCAGCGGGACCCCGCAGCCCGTGCCCAGAGCCGTGGCACGGCGGGGGACGGAGGACGGACCCCTCCCTGCAGCCCCCCCCCCAGGACCACCACCCCAGTCCTCGCACCAGACCAGACACCGCGAGGGGCTCTGGCAGGAGAGGTGTGGGGCAGCCCTGCCTGCCCCCCCGGGAGCAGCTCAGGGGCAGCTGTAGGCGCCGCGTCCCCCCCCGGGACCTGCCGTCCCCCTCCCCGGGGGGGGACCCAACCGTGGGCGGCGGGGTCCCTGCTCCGGGGCCGTGGGAGCCCAAGCCAGCGCGGGAGAGCCGTGGGGCTGGGCCTGTGCCCGGCGTTGCTCAACCCTCGGCAGCGTTTCGTAAGCGGGCAGTGCCGCTCGCCACCCAGCGCGGCACATGGCGGCTCCCGCGCCGGGCAGGCGTGAACCGCCTCGGCGGTGGCTCTGCCGCCGGGGACGCTCCGGGACGGGGGGTCCCTCCGCTCGGCCCCACGCGTGGGGTGGCTGCGGCCAGCGCCCCCGGCCCCGCGCGTCTCACCTGCCGGGGGTCTCCGGGGGGCTCAGGGGCCGGACGGGACGGGCATGGCCCTGCCGCGCGCGTCGCTCCGGCGCCCGCTGCAAAAGAGAAAAGACACCGAAAGGTGAAGCGCGGCGGCACCCGCCCTCCCGCCCCATCCCAGCCCGGGCGGGGAACGGCCCCGCGCGTGGGTCTGGCCGCGGCGGGAAGGGGCTGAGGTGCGAGGCTCGGGGGGCTGAGCCACGGGAGCGGGGCGCGGCTTGGCGGGGGGATCCCGTGGGGAGGGACCCCGGGGCTGCGTCCCGCGGGGGATGCTGGCAGCCCCGCGGCCCCCCCGCACGGGGCTGCCCCCCACCCGCGGCCGGGACCCCCCCTCCGGGTGGCCGCGGGGCCGGTGCAGCCCCACTCGGGGGCCGCGGGGCGGGGGCGGGGGGAACGGCGCCGGCGGAGCAGAGGCGGCACCGGGCGCCGGGTCCCGCTCCCGCCGCTTACCGGAGGGTCCCGCCGCGCCGGGCGGGGCTGCGCGGCCCCGCGGGGAGGAGCCGCAGCGGGAGCGCGCCGGGGCGGAGCGGGGCGAGGCGGCGCCGGGCGGGACCGCACCGGCACCGGCACCGACAGGCCTTGGCCCCTCGGGGGCCCCCGCCGAGCCCCGGGGGAGTCCCGGTGTCCCGGTGTCTGTCCCGGTGCGCCGGGGCGGGGCGGGCGGACGCGGGGCTCGAACCCGGAACCATGGCGGGAGGGCGGGGGGGGCGGGGCCGGCACCGGGAAGGGTGGGGGCGTGGGTGTGGTCGCCGAGGGGGATGCCGGGAGGCGTGGCGGGGGCGTGGCTAGCGCGGAGGCTGCCGGGAGGTGTGGCGGGAGGGGCGTGTCCGGCACTGAGAGGTGTGAGAGGAGGAGGCGTGGTCGCCGCGGAGGCTGCCGGGAGGGGCGTGTCCGGCACTGAGAGGTGTGGGAACGGGGGGGCGTGTCCGGCGCGGGGGCTGCTGGGAAGAGTGGCGGGGGGGCGTGGCTATCGCGGAGGGTGCAGGGTGGTGTGGCGGGAAGGGCGTGTCCGGCGCGGGGGCTGCCGGGAGGTGTGGCGGGAGGGGCGTGTCCGGCGCGGGGGCTGCCGGGAGGTGTGGCGGGAGGGGCGTGTCCGGCGCGGGGGCTGCCGGGAGGTGTGGCGGCGGCGGCGGCGGCGGCGGGGCTGGAGCGGAGCGCGGAGCGATGCAGAAATACGAGAAACTGGAGAAAATCGGGGAAGGTGCGGGGCGGGGGGGGGGGGCGGCGGGGACCCCTCGGTGACCCCGGGCTGACCCCGCGGCGACCCCGCAGGCACCTACGGGACCGTGTTCAAGGCCAAGAACCGGGAGACGCACGAGATCGTGGCGCTGAAGCGCGTGCGGCTGGACGATGACGACGAGGTGAGGGGGCGCGGGGGGGGGACACCCGGGCCCCGGTGCCGGGTCTGAGCCCCCCCCCGGGCCCCCCCAGCGCGCCCCTCTCTCGGCAGGGCGTGCCCAGCTCGGCGCTGCGGGAGATCTGCCTGCTCAAGGAGCTGAAGCACAAGAACATCGTCAGGCAAGGGGGGGGGGGGGGGGCCGGGAAGGGGGGTGGGGGGCCGCGGGGGGGTCCGGAGTCTCAGGGTCCCCTTCCCCTGTCAGGCTGCACGATGTCCTGCACAGCGACAAGAAGCTGACCCTGGTCTTCGAGTTCTGTGACCAGGTGAGCAAAAGGGGGGACACACACACCCCCCCCACACCCCCCCCCCACCCTGCGGGGGGGGGCACCGGGGTTAGCGCCTCTCCCCCCCCCCCCCCGGCTCCTCCCCAGGACCTGAAGAAGTACTTCGATAGCTGCAACGGGGACTTGGACCCAGAGATCGTCAAGGTGTGCTTGGCGAGGGGGGGCTGCGGGAGCCCCCTCCGGACCCACCGCCCCTGGGGCTGACGCGTGGGTGTGTGTGTGTGTGTGTCCCCCCCCCCGCGCTGCTTTCCCCCCGCAGTCCTTCATGTACCAGCTGCTGAAGGGCCTCGCCTTCTGCCACAGCCGCAACGTCCTGCACCGAGACCTCAAACCCCAGAACCTGCTCATCAACCGGGTGAGGGCCGGGGCGGGGGGGGGGGACACCGGCAGCCGGCTGTCTGTCTGTCCCCAGCCCACCGCTCCGTCTGTCCCTTGCGCTCCTGGACGCGGCGGGGGGGGTGGGGGGGTGGGGAGTGGCGGTGGGACGGGGTGTCCCCGGCGCCGTCCCGCTGACGCGGCGCTTTCCCCACAGAACGGGGAGCTCAAACTGGCCGATTTCGGGCTGGCCCGCGCCTTCGGCATCCCGGTGCGCTGCTACTCGGCGGAGGTGAGCCGGCAGCCCCGCGCTTTTCCCCTGGGGGGGCTCGGCCGTTCCTGTCCCCCCCCCCCCAGCCTGGCTGAGCGTCTCCCCCCACCCGTCCCGCTGCACAGGTCGTCACGCTGTGGTACCGGCCCCCCGACGTGCTCTTCGGTGCCAAGCTCTACTCCACCTCCATCGACATGTGGTCGGCCGGCTGCATCTTCGCAGGTGGTGGCGGCGGGGGGGGGTGGGGGGCACGGGGGGGGGGTGGAGGGGGGGCTGTGGGGCTCATCCCCTCTCCCTTTCCTAGAGCTGGCCAACGCGGGGCGGCCCCTCTTCCCGGGGAACGACGTGGACGACCAGCTGAAAAGGATTTTCCGATATCCTTCTGGGGGGTGGGGGGCACCCCCTTGTCTGGGGCAGGGGCGCGGGAGGGGGCTGTGGGCGGGGGGGGATGTCGGGGAGGGGGGCGCTGGGTGACGGGTGCCCCCCACGCTGGCCCTTGACCCGTCCCCCACGCTGCTGGGAACCCCCACGGAGGAGCAGTGGCCGGCCATGGCCAAGCTGCCGGACTACAAGGTGAGGTTTGAGGGGGTGTGGGGGGGGGGCCGGGGCGGGGGGCTGGGGCTCACCTCTCCGTCCCCAGCCGTACCCCATGTACCCCGCCACCACCTCCCTGGTCAACGTGGTGCCCAAGCTGAACGCGACCGGCCGGGACCTGCTGCAGGTGAGCGCGCTGCCCGTCCCCGCCGGGGAGAGGGGGTTTGGCTTCTCCCGGGGGGGGGGGGGGAGTGGGGTGCACCCTCTCCCCTCGCAGCCCTACACCTGGCGGGGGGGGTGCTCTGTGGGGTTGGGGGTCCCACGGCCCGCTCCCCCCTTCAGCCGCACCCCCTGCCCCCGCCAGAACCTGCTGAAGTGCAACCCGGTGCAGCGGATATCGGCGGAGGAGGCTCTCCAGCACCCCTACTTCACGGACTTCTGCCCCCCCTAGGGCCCCCCCGGCGCTGGCCCGGCCCCACGCTGAGCTGGGGGGCAGCACCCCGGCTCCTGGACACGCTCCCGGCAGCTGTGGGGAAGGGACAGCCCCCCACGGCAGCCGGGGGGGCACGAGGTGAGGAGGAGCAAGGTGCCGGCACCCCGGAACCGCAGCCCCCGCCCTCGGTATTTATTAGGTTTTTAACCCAACGCTACCCCGGTCCTGCCCTGGCTGGGGGGCGCTGGTGCAGCCCCCCCCCCCCCCCCAACTCCCCCCCCCACCCCCAGCCCCGCCGTGGAGCCGGGGGTGGCTGAGAGCGCACGGAGCCCTCCCCGGGGACACGGGGCCAAGGTGCTGGTGAAGGGGCAGGACCCTCCGGGACCAGGCGTGGGGACCCCCCCACTCCCCCTCTCCTTGCTCCCCCCGCCCCCAGCCCCTTCCCCAGCAGGGGAGGGGGCGCCAGCTCCCCCGGGGGGGGGGGGGTACCCCTTTTTTTTTTCTACCGTGCTGCTGTATGTAGGTGAATGTGCGTGTTTGTTACACCCATAAAGAGCTTCCCTTCCCCCAGCGCCTGCCTTCTCCTTCCTGGGGCACTGGGGACCCCCCCGGCCCTGTGTGCCCCCCCCCCCACCATCAGCACAGGAGCCAGGGCCTGGGGCAGGTCTTTAATGGGGTTGGGGGGTGGGACGGGGGGGTGTCCACAGCGAGCGGGCGTCGCATGTACAGCGCAGCGGGGAGGGGCGCGGGCGCAAGCAGCGCATGCAGGTACGCGGGAACAGGGCCGGGGGGGGCCCCGCCACCCCCAGCCCCCGCCACCACCCCCCCACCCCCTCGGCGGGGCGGTGGGGGGGGCGGGTAGCCCAAAGCAGGGCACCTCGGGGCCCGGTGCCAGCCCGTGGGGTCCCCCGCTCCCGGCGGGGCAGAGTTGGGGGGGGGTGCCTGGGTCTGCTGCCAGTGGCACCCCCACCCCCCCCCCCGCCCCACAGCCTCTGTGTGTGTGTGTGTGTCCCCCCCCCGGCCCAGCCGGGGGGTGCGGGGCTGGGCCCCCTCAGCAGGCGAATTCCTCGAAGGCGCCTAGAGCCGGGTGACGAGGTAGCACGTTCGGGGCGAAGCTGAGACTGTCCGTGTGGCAGCGCAGGGGGGGACGGGCGCTCTGAGGGCCGGGGGGGGGCGCGTTGGAGGCAGCCGGGTGGGGGGGCTCTGGGTGGCTGCTCCCCACGCCCCGCTGTCCCTGTCCCCCTGCGCCTGGCCGTGCTGGGGGGGCTCTGTCCCTTGCCTGTGCCCCTCGGGCTGCCCCAGCTCTGCATCAGGAACCCCCCTGCCCCCCCAGCTCCGGGGGGGGGGGGGGCCAGTGCGCAGTCACTGTGGAGCAAGGCTGTGCCCCCCCAACCCCAAAACCCGGAGCAGCGAGCCTCCCCACCCCACCCAGGACTGGGGCTCCCTCCTGCCCCACAGCGACCTGGGGGGGGGGGAGGTGAGTTGGGGTGGCCCCTGGCCAGCGAGTGGGGGGGGCCCGGGGCAGGGGGGGGGGGCTCAGGGGACGCAGTGCTGGGGAGCGATGCATGAGGATGGGAGCGGAGCCGGCGGGGGGGGGGGGGGCAGCCCCCACACACCGGCCCCAGGGATGATGCCAAGAAAAGCCTGGGATGGAGGAGGGGGGGGGGACACGGACCCCCGGGGCCCGCCTGCGGGGAAAGGGGGGGTCCTTGACTGGGGGGGGTCACCTCCTCGCCCCTCGTTGCACCCCGGCTGGGGACCCCCATCACCCCCCTGGGGGGAGGCAGCCCCGCAGCCCCCCCCAGTGCCGGCACCGCCAGCGTCGGGGGGGTCTCTGGGTGCTGCCCCCCCGGGTGTAGGGCCGGGATCTCTACCTGGCCCCCGGAGGGAGCGGGACAGCGGGGCTGCCCGGGACCGCTGGATGCTCCTGGCGGGCGGCGGGGGCGCAGGACGGACGGACAGACGGACAGAGAGGAGCGGATGAGCGCGCGGGGTCCCAGCGGGAGATGGTGCCGGTCCCGGGGGGATGAGGCCGAGCAGCAGATGGGTGGGATGAGGTGCGAGGCCCCCCCCTTGCCGGCTGTGCCAGGGGAGGGGGGACGGGGCGGCCGGGTCGCGGCCCGGAGGGGTTGGGGGGTGCTGGGGGGGGCTGGAGGGGGGGCGGGGGGAGGTTACCAGGGTGCTGCTGTCGCTCCTGGGGGTCCTCTTCTTCTCCTTGTAGAAGCTGAGGAGTTTGTCCCGGAACACCTGGGGGAGACGGGTCTGAGACGCCAGCCCCGCACACCCCCCGGCTGTGGGGCAGGGGGGGGCCGGGGGGGGGCTCACCTCGTACAGGTAATCGAAGATCTCCAGGATGGTGAGAAGGCTGGCGCCGATGAAGAGCCCCATCTGCCCCCCGATGTCACCTGGGCAGGAGGGCGGCGTTAGAGGGGGCTGCACCCCCCCCCCCCCCCCCATCCTCAGCCCCCCCGGGACCCCCCCCCGGGGAACTCACCCAGCAGCCCCGCCACCTCGTACGCCTTCTTCTGCTCGATCATCTCGTAGTTCAGGGCCTCAAAGAAGATGTCCAGGACCAGCACGTTGTCCCTGAGGCGGGGGACAGACAGGTCCGGGACGGACAGACGGACGGACGGACAGACGGACGAGCTGTCAGGCGGCATCCCCCGCCGTGGGGGGGGGCTCAGGGGGGCCATGCCATGCCGGGGTGTGCCGGGGGGACAGGGCGGAGGGGTCTGCCCTGTGCTGGGGTGGCACAAGGATGGGCTGTGCCGTGCTGTGCCGTGCCACGCCGTGCCGTAGTGTGCCAGGCTGTGCCGTGCCGTGCCGTGCCACGCCGTGCCGTACTGTGCCAGGCTGTGCCACACCGTACTGTGCCATGCCGTGTTGTACTGTGCCGGACTGTGCCACACCATACCGTGCCACGCCGTGCCGTAGTGTGCCAAGCGGTGCCACACCGTACCGTGCCACGCCGTGCCATAGTGTGCCAGGCTGTGCCACACCGTACTGTGCCATGCCGTGTCGTACTGTGCCGGGCAGTGCCATCTCATGCCATGCCATACTGTGCTGTGCCATGCCATGCCATACTGTGCCATGCGGTGCCGTATTGTGCCATGCCGTGCCATCCCATGCCATGCCATGCTGTACCGTGCCAAGCTGTGCGATGCCACGCCGCACTGTGCCACGCTCTGCCATGCCGTACTGTGCCAAACTGTGCCATGTCATCCCATGCCGTGCCGTGCCATCCCACACCATGCCGTGCCGTGCCGTGCCGTGCCACGTGGTTTTCCCTTATGCTGGGTCAGATTTGCACAGGGGAGGCCATGCCATGCCACGCCGCGCCACGCCGTGCCAGTTCACGCGTGCCGGGGGCTGCCACGCGGCCGTGCCGTGCCGTATCACACTGTCACGCCGTGCCGAGCGCTGGTGGGGCCGTGGGGCGGCGCGGCGGCACTCACGCGATGTACTGCTCCGTCTTGTTGAACTTCTTGGCCAGGTACCTGGCGGAGGCCTTGCTGGGGATCTTCACCATGGAGAGCTCTTTGCCGTAGCGCACCATGGCGCAGGGCGTGCGGCAGGCGCAGTACTCGCTGTCCTTCTTCACCAGGAAGTCTTGTTGGGGGGACACACACACGTGGGTGGGACAGGGAACACTGGGGCCGTGTGCCCGTGACCCCCCCCAACCCGTGCTGGGAACGAGCCCAAGCCCCGGCCAAATCCTGGGAGTTGGCGGGTGCCGGTGGCACGGGATGGGCGCGGCACAATCGCACCTGAGGGGGGGAGCGTGGCTCTGCGTGTTTGGGGTCTGAGCGGGCAGGGACAGCAGTGACACCCCCACCCCAATCCCCCCCCCCGCAGCCAGGGCACGGGGACACCGGTGCCACGTTGGCAGCGATGGAGCCTGGCGATGGGGGGGTCCCAGGGGCGAGAGGGGGGCTGTGCTGGGGATGCCAGCGGGCAGGGGGCCGCCGGTACGTACCCAGCGCGGGGTCGGCACACTCCTTGTACTGCTCCGGGGTGCAGACGTTGGCGTTGCCTGCGGGGGAGGCGGCGGTCGCAGGGGCAGGAGGGTCTCCCCACCGCCCCGGCCCCACGGCAGCCGCCCCCCCCGGCCCCGGCCCCGTCCCCGGCTCACCCGGCATGTGCACCATGCGGCAGTTGCAGTTCTCGGCCAGGTAGCGGGTCTCGCAGTCCAGGCGGCAGGCGGTGATGCTGTAGTTGGTGAAGAAGTCGGACTCGATGGGGGTGGCCTTGCAGTCCCCCCAGGGCGGGGGCAGGTACACCAGCTGCCGGCCGCGGGCTAAGGAAAACACGGCGTCCCCGGCGTGTCCCCCACCGCCGTGACCCCGTCCCGCTCGTCCCATGCGACCGGTGCTGGGGAGGGGGGGGGTCAAACCGCCCCGCAGACCCCCACTGACACCCCTGCCCCTCCTCGCTGGGCACGGGGACGGGCGTCGGGGCCGGTGTCACCCGCAGCGGGAAAGGCGACGGGCGAGGGCCCGCACGTGGTACCCGCTTGGGAGCCGGACGCGACGGGGGGGTCAGCACAGAGCCCCCCCACGGCGGGTAGCACCCAGAGGGGCAGCTACTGTGCCCTGGCCGGTGCGGGGACCGCGCTTGGCGAGGGAGCGGCGGGGCTCGGCAAGGTGCCCACGGGCACCCAGGGTCACGGTGCCGCCGCCACCGCCGCGCTCCCGGCCGCCCACGCCACGAGCGCCAGCACACATGGAGACACCCACTCGCGACACCTAAATTTAGGTGTCTGGCTGCGGGAGCTGGATGCCGCCCCTGCCGCCGGTCTGTTCGGCAGGAGGCTGGGGGGGGGGGGGCGCGGTTTGCTGCTGGGAACCGGTGCCTGCGGTGGGACCCAGATGTCCCGGCGTGGGGCTGCCCCACACCGTGCCGCGGAGGTGCGGTACCTGCCGCGCGGCACGGCTCGACACGGGGTGTCCCGGGGGGTGGGTTAGGGTTAGGGTATGGCTGTGCCGGGGCTGCCCGAGCCCCGGGGGGGTGGCGGTGCCCCCGCAGCCCCCGCCGCCCGGGCAGAGCGGCCGGATACCCGCTGCTGCTGGCAGGACACGAAGGTCTGGAAGCCGGGCGCCACGCCGAAGCCCAGCTGGTCGATGAAGGGGGGCTCTTCCTGGCTGTGGATCTGCACCTTCACCCCCGCCTCGTACGAGGTCTCGTCTGCAAGGCAGGGAGGGCGTCGGGGGCGCGAGGTGATGGCGAGCGGGGCTGCGGAGCTGGGGTCGGGGGAGGCCCCCACCTGTGTCCCCCCAGACGGGCAGGTATTCCTCTTGCTGGACGTTGAGCATCAGCTCCAGGCCGTTCCCCGCGCCGCCCTGCAGCGTGGTCAGCACCTCCCGGCCCGGCCCCCCCGAGTTGAAGGTGTAGCACTTGCCCAGGCGGGTGAAGATCTGCGGGGACGGGGCAGGACCCTCAGCGCCCGCGGCGGGGGTCACCCATGGGATGGCAGCATTCGGGGTGCTGGGGGCCGGGAGCTGGGCCCCCGCCTGCCCTGCACTCAGCGAGCAGGGCTGGGGGGCAGCACCGGGGGGTGCCGGCACCGCCCCAGGGTGGGATCCCAGCGCCCCCCAGGACCCGCTGCAGGATCCCAGCACCCCCCCATCACTCTGTGCACAGGAAAGGGGCTGGTGCACCCATCCCTTCCCCTCTGGGACCAGCGTGGGGCTATGCACGGGGCTGGGGGGCAGCGGCTGCTGCCCCTGCCCCACCGTGGTGTCCCTGGCTCTGCCGGGTCCCATCGGTGCTGTGGGACCCCCCCACCCACGCCCTGAACCCCGTCACCCCTGGCCCCCCATGCCTGTGCTGCAGCTGCAGCCCCACCTTGCCCCACATGCCCTGCCGTGACTCCCCATTTCCACCACGCTTCCCCACGGCCCCGTGGGTGCAGGGTGGGCGAGAGGAGCCGCCCCGGGGCAGCACGGTGGGAGCTTCCCCGCGTGCCCGGGGCTGGGGGGCAGCGGGGCGGGCAGGCACCATGCCCCCCACCCCACCATTGCCCCACATCCTGCACACCCCACGGCCCCACACAGTACGCACAGCTCATCATCCCACAGCGTGCACCCCCACCGTCGCCCCACAGCCTGTGCACCCCCAAAGCCTGCTCAGCCCTGGGGGTCCTGCCCAAGCTCTGCCCAGGGCAGAGCCGGCTGGGGCTGGGGCTGCTGTGGGTCCTGCTCGGGGCAGAGAGTCATCCGTGGCCGTGGCTGTGGCCGTGACCGTGGCACTCACGGCGGTGAAGTTCTCAGGGCCGCAGTCCTGGCAGCGCAGCAGTATCTCGTGGATGGGGTGCCCGGCGCGCGGGTAGAAGGCGCCCAGGTCGTTGCTCTTGCTGGGGAAGAAGCCGGCGAGGTCGGGGGGCCGCCCCAGCGCCCGCAGGTAGCGGGGGAAATCCTCCCTCCCCAGCGCCAGCAGCTCCCTGCCCAGCCAGAACAGGTCGCCGGGGGTGAGCTGGGACCGCCGGACGCGGTTGTCGCTGCAGAGGGTGACGGCGGGGAAGGCGAGGACGCGGGTCTCCGCCTCGTCCAGCACGGTGACGCGGGGGTGTGCGGCGTAACGCCGGACCCGCTCCCCCACACGCAGCGGGAAGGTCCCCACCGAGGCCAGGAAGGCTCCGGCCCCAAAACAGGCTCCCCGGGCGCGAAGATGCGCCCCAGCCCCTGCAGTGCGCGGCACCGGGCGAAGGCTGTGAGCCCGGCCGCCCCCCGCGCCCCCCGAGCCCGTCCCCGGCTCTGCGGGGGGATCGGGATTCAGCACGGCTCCGGGGGGACGTGGGGCCGCCTGGGGACATGTGGGGCTGCGTGGGGACCCAGCAGTGGGGAGGGCGCGAGCCAGGATGGTGACGGGGACCGGGGCTTGGCAGAGGCCGTCATCCCTGCTAGGACTGGGGAGCCTGACCTGTGCCAGAGGCCCCCAGTGCCCCCAGACCCCCCAAGGACCAGCACCCACAGGTAGGGACCCCAGCACCCAGTGCCAAGGCCCCCAGAGGCCCCAGCACCCACACGTAGGGATCCCAGTGCCCCCAGAGCCCCCAGTGACCAGCACCCACAGGTAGGGACCCCAGCACCCACCACCAGTGCCCCCAGAGCCCCCAGGGGCCAACGACCAGGGGCAGAGACCCTTCCCACAGCCCCCAGCATAACCCTGAGCTGAACAACCCGCCCCCCCCGAGCCCCCCACAACCCTGCAGCCCAGGTATGCGGCACTTCCCACCCCGCAGCCAAAGCCTCCCCAGCCCCAGAGCAGCCCCCCCAGCCCCCTGACTCCCACTCCCTTTGGCCTACCCCCCCCCCCCCCCCGCCCTCAGCACAGAGCCCCTTCCCCACGCAGGCCCCCACCCCACGGAGCGGCTGCCCTGGGGTGCAGGGTGAGGGGTGTGGGGGGGCTGCAGCCATGGTCCCCCAGCCCCATCACTGACCCATGGCCTGGGGGGTGGCTGGCCCAGGGGGGCCATCCATAACTGCCCCACAGGGTCAGGGCTCCCCCAGCTATGGGGTGTGTCCCCCCCGGGTGTAGTGTCCTGCCCCACTGCGGGGGCGGGGGGGCCTGCTGCTGTGGCAACGGGCTGCTCCCAAAGAGGGGAGCCGTTGCCATGGCAATGTGCTGCCCAAGGAGGAAGGGGGGGGCGGCTGCCATGGCAACGGCTGCCCGGCACAGGGATGTGCTGGGGCCCAGCAGCTGGGGGGGACTGGGACAGGCACAGGGACTGGGATGCAGCCCCGGCACTGCCAGCCCTCCTGGCGGTCCCCACACTCGGGGTGACCCACTATCAGGTCCCCCCAGCCCTGCACCCCAGGGACCCCGGGCCCTGCACCCTGGGGACCACCAGCCCTGCACCCAGGACCCCCCTGTCCCCGCACCCAGGAACCCCCTGTGCCCGCACCCAGGACCCTCCTTGTCCCCGCACCCAGGACCCCCCTGTCCCCACACCCAGGACCCCCCTGTCTCCGCACCCAGGACCCCCCTGTCCCTGCACCCAGGACCCCCCTGTCCCCGCACCCTGGGGACCTCCTGTCCCCGCACCCAGGACCCCCCTGTCCCCGCACCCCAGGGCCGCGCTGGCCCCGAGCACCTCCCATCCGTGCACCCCCAGCTTGCCCCGGTCCTCCCGGCCCTGGGGGGCACAGACCCAGCCTGGATGGCCCTTGCTTTGGACACCGACCACAGGCCCGGGGACCCCGGGGACGGGGCTGGGATGGGGCACCGCGCACGGGCGGCCTCCCCGGCCCCGGCATGGGCTGGGAGCCCCGGCAGCCCCGCAGCCGCCAGATGGGACGCGGTGCTGGGAGCCGCCGGCTCAGCGCCGAGGACAGAGGATCATAATCTGCACCTAAGCCCCGGCATTAATTCTGTATTTTTAGCCGGCAAAGTTGCAGTGGGCGCAGAGGGAGGCTGAGCCGGGGCAGGGTGGCCCCGTGGAGGGGGGGCTGCATGTGCCGGGGGCCCCCGCGGCCGCTCAGGCAGAAGTTTCTCGCTGCTTGTTGGGGCTGAGGCGGCAGCGGGGCCGACCGTGCGGCGCACGTGGGCAGAGCCTGACGCTCCCGGCGGCATCCACGAGCCCGGGGGACGGCGGGAGCAGCGCAGCCCCACGCATGACCCCCCCTAAATCCCACCCTGGGGACTCCCGACCCTCCCACTGCACGACCCAGCCCTTGCTGCTGGACGCAGCCGCCTGGCCCTGCCGCAGGGGCTCCGGCGGAGCTGCTCCGGCCAAGGGCGTGGAGCTGCCAAAAGGGATGCTTTTCCCCCGAGCTCCCAAGGAAAATTAATTTTGCGCACTAAGAGTCTTAAGCTGATGGTAATTGCTGTTGTGATAGCACAGCCGAGCCCACGGTGACAGCGACTGAGCAGAGCCGTGCACAGCAGGCACAGGCTGCCCAGCTCCCACCACACGCTGCTTCCCCGGCGCTGCCGCAGCACGAAGGACGTGCCCATCCTCCTGCCCGTGCCACCATCCCTGCCCGTCCTCCTGCCCGTGCCATCATCCCTGCTGTCCTCCTGACCGTGCCACCGTCCCTGCCCATCCTCCTGACCGTGCCACCGTCCCTGCCCATCCCTCCCGGGCAGGCACAGCGCCGGGTGGGTTTCGCAGGACACAGTGCAGGCTGCCCGCTGCTGAGGTTTTTCTGGGGGGAGCCAAGCGCTGGGTCAGGGGTCCCCTGTGCCCACCCAGGACTGCGGCAGCCCTGCTCCCCCCCCTCAGGGTGCCACGCTCTGGCACCTGCCTGCACCACGCACATGGCAGCCCGGGGGACACAGCTCGGTGCTGTGCAGCCCCGCCGGCATCCCACCGGGGCACGGCGGGTGTGGTGGGAGCACACGGGCACCGGCGATTCCCTGGGGCCAGGAGCAGAGCGGGCGCAGCCCCGGGAGCGGCGGGGGGTGTTGGGGGCAGCACCGGGGCCAGGCACCCATGGGCTAGAGGCGGGGGGGATGGCTCTGGCACGGGGAACCCTCGCCCGCGCCGGGGCAGGCTGCGTGGTGAAGCCGTGGGTGTGGGAGCTGCGTGTGAACACGGCCCGGGGGAAGCGGCTGCTGCCGCCGGTGCCCGGGCGGCATCTGGGGCCGGCACGGGGGGGAGCGGGGCTGTGGGCTGTACCTGTGGGCACCCCGTGCCCACCAGCACCCCGTGCCCGTGCGGCTGCATGCAGGGGCTCCGGCACAGCGCGGCTCCAGCCTGGGCTCCGTTCCCAGCCGCCTGGCACCCCTGCGGTGAGCGTGGGGTGGGGGGCACCCCTGGCTGGCAGCCGGCCTGCCGCAGCGCCCGGGGAGGCGGGCAGGGGCTGGCGTGTGGGGCGCGCCGGCGGGTCGGGAGCAGGGGCTCACCCGTCGGTGCCGCAGCAGCCCCAGCGTGACCCCGGCAGGGCACCCGCGTCCCTTCACGGTCCCCGGGGGCACGCGGGCCACCCGGTCCCCGGTGGGGCCCCCCCACTCCTCGAGCCGGTCCCCGCGCCCCGGGGCCGGCACTCACCACGGTGAAGTTGCGGGCGGTGCAGTTGGCGCCGCGGAAGGAGCACTGCAGCAGCATGTCGGCCAGGTCGTGGCCGGTGCGGTTGTAGAACTCGGCCATGCTGAAGGGCTTGGCCTTGAAGTTCTTGAAGTTGGCCTTGTCGCGCAGGGCGGCCAGGACGTGGGGCTCGGCCAGCTGCGGGTTGCTGATCTCGTAGCGGTCGTTGAGCAGCGCCAGCAGCTCGCCGACGTGGTACATGTCGTTGCGGGTGATCTTGGAGAAGCGGAACTCGTTGAGGTTGCAGATGGTGATGGCCGGGAAGGTGAGGTTGTGGGCGGCCACCTCGTCCAGCTTGGTGACGTGGGGGTAGGTGAGGAAGTAGGCGACGCGCTCGGCGCAGACCAGCAGCAGCAGCCCCAGCGAGCCCAGGAAGAAGGCTCCCCACAGCACGCGGCGCAGCGACACGGCCCCGTAGGCGAAGACGTGGCTGATGCCGTGCAGCGAGGAGCTGTGGGCGAAGGCCCGCAGGCTGGAGAGCCCCTCGCCCTCCCCGCTGCCCTCCGAGCCCGCCCTCATCCTGCCGCCGCCGGGCCCCCCCGCTCCCCGCCGCCCTCAGCCCCCCGGGACCCCCGGCCGCCCCCGGCCCATGGCCGCGCCGTGCTCAGGGTGCTGCGGGCGGGGCGGGGCGGGGCGGGGCAGGGCGGGGCAGGGCGGGGCAGGACCGGCCGCTCCCCCCCCCCCCGCCTCCCCCCCGCGCTGTCGGTACCGCGGAGCCGCCGGCCAGCGCGGCCCCCCCCCCCCCCGGTCCCGGTCTCGGTCCCGGTCCCGGTCCCGGTCCCTGCTCCCGGTCCCGGCTCCGCTCCCGGCTCCGCGGCGCAGCCGCTGCCGCTCCTGCGGCCGCCCCCCGCCCCCGCCCCTCCCGCGGCGGCTCCACCCGCCGCCCCCCCCCCCCCCCCCGAAGAACAGGGGCGGGGAGGGGGGTGGGCGCGGAGCCGAGGGGCCGGGCAGGGCTGGGGGGGCTGCCCCGCTGCGGCCCCGCTCCTCCCCCCGGGCACGGAGACCCTGCTGAGCCCGGCGTGGGAGGGTTCGGCCGTGGGCGCTGCAGGACACCCCCCCCCCCCTCACCGGGCCGCGCTGGGACCCCCCACCCGCTGCAGAGCCAGGTCCGGCCCGGAGCCCCTCCCGGAGCAGCGGCGTTGCCGGGGGGGTTAGGGGGCGGGGGGCAGAGACCCCCGGGGTGGGCGGTCTGGAAGGCAGCAGTGCCGGGGGGGGGGGCGGGTAGTGCCAGCCCCGCCATGGTGGCCCCCCGGGACAGGGGACACGCAGCGAGCGGCACCGAAACCGGCCACCCGCTCCCCTTCACCGGGACGGCCCTGGGGACCCCCACCCCGGGGGACCGACGGAGGGGGGACCCCCCCACCTTCCCACGCAGGACACTGCCGGCAGCTGCCCGTCCCCCGGGGTGCGCAGGCAGGGAGGGGCGGGGTCGTCCCCGCCCCAAATCCACCGTCACCCCCCCGAGGCTCCGCCCCCTGGCAGTGGTGGGGGGAGCAGGGCCGGTGCACCCCCCCCCCCCACAACCCCACACCACACAGCTGAGCCCCCACAGCCGCCTTCCAGTGCTGGTTTATTGGGGAGCAGCAGGGGGGCACCCCGGGAGCAGCTGCCCCCCCCCCCCCACTCAGGATCGGTCCTTGGTCTGCCGGCGGATGAGCTCGGCGTAGAGACCCCCCCGTCGCACCAGCTCCTCGTGGGTCCCCGCCTGCGGGGACAATGGAGACGGTGTCACCCATGTGGCTGCCCGTGTGTCCCCCCCCTTTCCCCTCACCCCCCCCCCCCCGGTGCTGCCCACCTCGGCCACCCGGCCCTGCGCCAGCACCACGATGAGGTCCGCGCCCCGGATGGTGCTGAGGCGGTGGGCGATGAGCAGGACGGTGCGGCCCGAGACGGCGCGGTCCAACGCCTCCTGCACCACCCGCTCCGCCTGCGCGTCCAGCGCGCTCGTGGCCTCGTCCAGGATCAGCACGGGGGGGTCCTTCAGCAGGGCCCGGGCGATGGCGATGCGCTGCTTCTGACCCCCCGACAGCGTCGCGCCGCGCTCGCCTGGCGGGGACAACCGCGGGGATGCCGGTGCCGCCCCAGCTTGGGGAGACCCCCCCCACCGCGAGGATGGGAGCCGAGGGGCGCAGCTGTGTTCCCCCCCCCCCCCCCCCCGAATACCAGCGCCAAACGACATCCATGCCGCGGGAAGCCCGGCGCAGCCGCCGCTCCCTCCCGGCACAGCCTCGTGCCGGCGGTGACGGGCAGCCAGACTTGGGCTTCGTGCTTCTCCGCCTGTCCCGTGGGGCGGCTGCGTGGGTTCGGGGGTCCCCGCCCGCCTGCCCCACTCTGTGGCACATACCCACGACGGTGCCGTAGCCCTCGGGGAAGCTGCGGATGAAGCCGTCGGCGTTGGCGAGCTGGGCCGCGGCGTACACCTCGGCGTCGGAGGCTCCCGGCTTCCCGAAGCGGATGTTCTCCAGGATGGTTGTTCCGAAGAGCACCGGCTCCTGCGGCAGTGTCCGGCCCCTCAGCGCCGAGCCCCGGACAGGGTCACCTCCCCCCCTGTCCCCTGGGGGGTTCCCACCCGGCGCCTGGGGGAAGCGCCCCACGGCAGCCCCCAACCTGGCCGATGAAGCCGATGACGTGCCCCCGCAGCCAGGAGGGGTCCAGGGAGGAGATGTCGTGGCCGTCCAGGGTGATGCTGCCCTGCGTGGGCTCGTAGAACCGCTCCAGCAGCGCCGCCACCGTCGATTTCCCTGCGGAGGGGGGACCCCCTCAAGCCCCGCCACGCCCCCCGGCTGCGCGCCCCCCTGGGGCCCCCCAGCTCCAGCACCACGGGAGGCACGGGGGCCGGTTCCCAGTGCAACTGGGCTCACCGGGCAGAGGGCTGGGGCGCAGGAGGGTGCGCCCAGGGAGTGGAGAGGGTGTCCCCTGCGCTGGGGGTGCAGGGAGGGCTGTGGGTCCCGGGGGGGGCCAGTACCTCCTCCGGATGGTCCCACGATGGCCACGGTCTTGCAGGGGGGCAGGGTGAGGCTGAAGTCCCGCAGGACCAGGTAGCCCGGGCGGGTGGGGTAGCTGCAGGGAGAGGAGCGGGGGGGGGGCTGTGGGAGCACGGTGCCGGCCCCCCAGCCTGCGGGGTGGCTCAAGGGGAGGGGGCTGGTGCAGCTCACCTGAAGGAGACGTGGTGGAAGGCGATGTGGCCGAGCAGGGAGTGGCTGGGGATGGAGCCCCCCCCCCGCAGCGCCACGCTGGGCTCCAGCGCCAGCAACTCAAAGACGCGGGCGCCGGCGCTCAGACCTCGCACCACCTGCGAGGGGGACACAGCAGTGGGAGCACCCCCCAGCCCCTGCCCCCCAGCTCCAGCGGGAGCCCCCCACCCCACCTACCTGCCCAAGCAGGATGGAGATGTTGGCCATGGACCTGCGGGGCGCAAGGGGAGAGGCCGAGCTCAGGGCTGTGCCCCGGGCAGGATGTGGCTCACCGGGGCCCCGGGGATGCGCCGCGCCGGGCCCTGCCCTGACCTTTGCACCGTCTGCGAGGCCACCAGGAAGGACATGAGGTCGCCCGGCGAGAGCTCATCCCCGGCCATCATGGAGCCGCCCACGAAGATGGTCCCCAGGACGATGCCTGCGGGGCCGGGGGGGTGCAGGTGAGACCCGGAGGGGGGTCCTGCCCCACGGCACCACCGGGTCCTGCCCCCCAGATGCCCGCTCACCGTTGAGCGCCAGGTTGGAGAGCCCCTGGAAGGCGGCGATGCCCAGCCCCAGCCGCTCGTTCAGCCAGCCGGCGCGGTCCACCTCGGCGCAGTACAGCCTGCGGGCAGGGAGGGGGCTGACACCCCTCAGCCCCCCCCGCTGGGAGAGACACCCCCCCCCCCCGCAGCTGCCCCCCTTACCCTGCCTGCCGGTCCTCCATGGCGAAGGCGCGCACGGTCCGGACATTGCCCAGCACCTCGTCTGCCACCCCCGTGGCTTTAGCCACCTGCGGGGAGAGGGATGGAGGGGGGGGGGGGGGGCCACACAGGACACCCCCTGCTCTGGCGCTGGGGGGTGGTGGGGTCCCTTGGAGGGGGTGGGGGGGGTTACCTGCTCCTGCGCCTGGCGGGAGAAGCTGCGGAGGACGGCGCCGATGAGGGCCCCGGCGCCCACCAACACGGGCAGCGCCACGAGCAGCAGCCCCGTCAGCTTGGGCGAGAGCAGGTAGAGCGAGACGAAGCAGCCCACCGTCTGCGTGCCGCTGCGCAGGCCCTGGCGGGGGGCACGGGTGGGTGCTGGGGGCCAGGGGGGGTCTCGGGGGGGGGGAGCCGGTGCTGGCGGTTGCCGGCCTCACCTGGGAGATGGCCAGCTTGAAGGAGGACTTGAATTCCTGGATGTCGGCCGTCAGCCGGTTCACCAGCTGCCCCGTCCGGTTGGCGTCGAAGAACGCCACGTCCTGCCTGCCCGGAGAGGGGGGGGGGAGCGGTGGTGGGCTGGGGGGGTGTGTCGCCCCCCCCCCCGCCGCGCACCCCATCCCTCTCACCGCCCCGCGGGGTGTTTTACCGGAGCAGGGAGACGAAGAGCGCCTTGCGCATGCTGCCCGCTACCTGCTCCCCGACCCGCGCCAGCAGCGCGATGTACCCGAAAGTCAGCAGCCCCTGCGGAGGAGAGGGGCTCGGCAGGGTGGGGGGCAGCCCCGCCGGGACCCCCCCCACCCGGCTCGGGGTGCCAGCACCCACCTGCAGGCAGTAGACGGCGAGCAGGCGCAGGGCCGGGCGCCGCGCTTCCCGCAGGTAGCCGGCGAGGTGGCCGCGGGCGCAGCGGGCCACCACGTTCACCAGCTGCCCCAGCAGCACCGGGATGTGGATGTTGAGCAGGGCTGCGCCCAGCGCCAGCTGCGGGGACGGGGGGTGTCACACCAGGGCACGGGGGGTGTCACAGCAGGGCACGGGGACGGCAGGGGGGTGTCACAGCAGGGCACGGGGAGTGTCACAGCAGGGCACGGGGACGGCAGGGGGGTGTCACACCAGGGCACGGGGACGGCGGGTGTGTGTCACAGCAGGGCACGGGGACGGGGGATGTCACAGCAGGGCACGGGGACAGGGGGTGTCACAGCAGGGCACGGGGACAGGGGGTGTCACAGCAGGGCACGGGGACAGGGGGTGTGTGTCACAGCAGGGCACGGGGGGTGTCACAGCAGGGCACGGGGACGGGGGGTGTCACACCAGGGCACGGGGACAGCGGGTGTGTGTCACACCAGGGCACGGGGACGGGGGGTGTGTGTCACACCAGGGCACGGGGACGGGGGGTGTCACACCAGGGCACGGGGACGGGGGGTGTCACACCAGGGCACGGGGACGGCGGGTGTGTGTCACACCAGGGCACGGGGACAGCGGGTGTCACACCAGGGCACGGGGGGTGTCACAGCAGGGCACGGGGATGGGGGGTGTCACAGCAGGGCACGGCGGGTGTCACAGCAGGGCACGGGGACAGCGGGTGTGTGTCACACCAGGGCACGGGGACGGCGGGTGTCACACCAGGGCACGGGGACGGCGGGTGTGTGTCACACCAGGGCACGGGGACGGCGGGTGTCTGTCACAGCAGGGCACGGGGACAGGGGGTGTGTGTCACACCAGGGCACGGGGACGGCGGGTTTGTGTCACAACCAGGGCATGGGGATGGGGGGTGTCACACCAGGGCACGGGGACGGCGGGTGTCTGTCACACCAGGGCACGGGGACGGGGGGTGTCTGTCACAGCAGGGCACGGGGACAGGGGGTGTGTGTCACACCAGGGCACGGGGACGGCGGGTTTGTGTCACAACC